AAAAAATATGTGAATATGCATATGAGACTACATAGACATTTTATATAAAGTTATCACAATTTTTTGTCAATAGTTTTTAAATTAAGAGTCAACTCTTTTCAAATAAGAGTAGACTTTTTTCCAACAAGAGTCAACTCTCATTAAAGAGAGTAGACTATACACAACACTTAAAATGTTATCAACTCTCTGGAATTTGAGAGTCGAATGTTCACAATATATAGTCGACTCTTGAATACTCGAGAGTCGAATCTTTGTACCTAGATTCAACTCTTTATTTAAAGGTATACATATAATGGCCTTGACCAACTATTAGTCAAAGTGGTAATATCAGCAATAAGGCATATATTGCTAATGTTTGGTTGGTAAAAAGATAAAAATAACAACAACATAGTATATGTTGCTAATACTTTCGGTGTGGTTGGAAAAGTTTCAACAAGATAGCTTTTGTTGCTAAAAGTCACTTTCAGCAACAAGGTAAATCTTCCTAAAAGTGAAGCTCAACTAGATGGGGAAATGATTGTAGGAAAATATCAACAACATAGGGTATGTTGCTGAAATTCACTTTCAGCAACATACTCGTTGTTGCTGAAAGTAGAGCAACTTTTTAGGAAAAAAATGTACTATGCAACTTTCAGCAACGTGAGTCTTGTTGTTGATACAAATTTTCAGCAACAAAGGATCTCATGTTGCTGATATATTGTTGCTGAAGGTTTGAATTTTGGTAGTGCAACTTTCATAATTGAAATTGCTTAAAAAAACCTGATATAACTAAAATTATGAATTTTTATAAAATTGACACCATATAAATGCAAAATATTTGGCAAAAGAAAGAATGAAATAGATTAAAACAAATAAATCATAAGAATCGGCATTCAAGAGTCAAGAAACTAACATAGTGACAATGCATATCTAACCACAAAAACCAAATTGTATTGAATTAAAGTCGAGAGGAGAGTTTGAATCCCTATAAGTGGAAAAGCATAGGTTTGACCAACAACATCAGAAATTTCATACCAATTATCAACATAGATCACATTAGGATCAAGAAGTCTTAGAAAAAGATAACAAAACCCATATAGGTGTTTCAAAGAGATACCTAGCAACAACAATATCTCTGGCTTCAACAGAAAACAATCCTGTGACAGCTTTGGGAACACCTAAAAATGGCCCACTAATGTTCATTATTGCCTTTGTATGATTAGCACACCAATTTGATCCACCCTCACCACCCATTGGAGCCAGTGCGTCAACCCATTTCATGAAGTGCAGAAAGTATAGGACACCCATTGAATGTGAAATAACAACCACCTTTCTACCACCATTTGTGGCTACCATGTGTTCTATGTTACTTCTTATCCTGCTTAGAGTTTGGTCCCTCACCTGAACAATTATGTTAGGTAGAAAGTTTGATGATAATTTGAAGAAAAAATAGTATACTTTCCATTGCAAAACAAAAAATTGAAATGAAGAAAAAAAAAGAAAGAAGAGAAACATGTGATATATATATAGATGAATAATAACATAGTTTGCATAATTAACTCCAAGGGAAATGAAGTAACGAAGCTAAATTCTACCTCTATGTTTTGAAAAGATAATCTCCAATCATATGCAGCCATATACATTGTTTTCTCCGCATACCCAATCTGAGTCGAATTAGCAATTAAGACAGCCTAGACAAAATAACCTGGAGCAAAGTATTCAACTGCTACAAGTCCAAATACAGGCCTAACCCTTATACCGGGAGGGTCAAGCCCAGTTTCATTGTCTAGTGACATGTGCTCAACCCAACACAATGGTCTGCAAGGAAATATATAGAAAAAAGGAAGAAAAAGAATCTTAAGGTATTAAGCTTCACAGATGAGATAACTATCACATTTAGTTAGAAGATAACAGATATATGTGAGGGGGGAAAAGGGCAATATTAGACATATAAGAGCACTTTCCATCCCTGTTAATTGTAAGTAAATAATCTAAAATCATAAGTTAATCTTCTTCAATATATGTAAATAAAACTTGTGTACCCAAAAAGACAAAAGAAGAATTGAATAATGACAACAATTATGAAATGGAGAGGCTGATCTTTTTCAGTTCTACGCGCAACCCAAAAGTTATAAA